TCCCCGGATTTCGTAGACCTCTACGATACGCCTGTACGCAGAAAGGAGCCGGATCTCGTTAGTTTCGCGAGTGGAGCTCGTGGGTGGTGGCGCGCGCGCGCGCGCGAGTCAAATACTCGACACCGCCAGACAGATGTCGGGTGTCGGGTGTCGGGTGTCGGGTGTCGGGTGACGGTTGACTGGTGACGGGTGACGGGAGGTGGGTGTGGAGTCCGAGGATTGGGACGGTGGCGAGCTTTTCCGCCAAAAGCAACCCCTCCTCCGGCCTTCCGCCCGCCCGACGTCACATACTCCCCTTGATAGGCGGCCGTCGGGCCGATCGATAGAGGACCTGCGCTCTCAGCCCGAGATTTTCGCTCGCGCAGTTCCCACACATGTGTGCGCGGCCGCACCACTTCCCGGAGGCTGTCCGAGAGCGTACGAGGCCGCGTCCCCCGCGTCGAGGTCCAGGAGGTGAGGAGCCCCGGAGTTCGTGGATTCCAGGCGAGGTTCCTGGTGGTAGTGGGCTCGGTCGTCCGGCGAATAGAAGGAAGGGGAAAGGGTGACTCGGCGCGCGGTAGCGTCGCTTCGATGTCGTCGTCGACGATGCGAGAGGCGATAACGCGTCGCGGTAATCTCTATTTTTAGGCTCCATCGCGGTGACGCTGCCGCGAATCGCGAGGCGACTAGAAGCGACGTTTCCTGCTGTCGCGTATTAGCGCCTCCGTGTTGTCCGAGCGCGTCGCGAGATAACGCGCCTTTCCACGTTTGTGCACACATCAGTGAAAATTGTGCGGTGCTCTCGTTTCTATTGTGGTGGCAGTCGGTTTTCCACGTAGTCCAGTCCACGGCTCTTTTCTGGTATTATAGTCATCATCGCACGGCATTGCGTGTAATATTACAATGTTCTAAGCAACGGCTCGCCCTCCTACGCTCATAAACTGTTGTAAGATTCATGATAATTTTCAGTATGTGCTTGGTGTCTCTACCGACGTCAATGGGATAAATTACTTTGACATTAGGATGCTTCGATGATGGATGTCGACGATGGCAAATGTCAAGGTTTTTCGCGAGGGAAACGAACGAACGAACGAACGAACGAACGAACGAACGAACGAAAAAAGAATAAAGAATAAGTACTCTTACGCGTCGCGGACCATACGGATGGCGAGGCGAAAAATCCAGCCCCAGAGAGCTTTTTTAATAATTGCCGACGATCCGCAATGATGTGGGAAAAGTCTTGCGGAAAGATGAAACGTAAGCAGCTTGAATTCGCGTTATAACGCACGTGCTTCCGTCCTAACGCGACTAATCCTCGCCTTTCCATGTCACCGAGCATTCGGTATATTCTCTACTTCTACGACCATCCGCCCTTTCCAAAACCCATCTCGGATTTAAAAACGAATCGATGTTTGGTATAGGCAGTTGGTCGTTCGTTCGTGTACGTATTAATCGCGCGTATCCTATTTATTTAACTTGCATTTGCTCATTTGGACTTTGGCACGTAATTTCGAGCCCTCGCTACGGCCTATTTTACTCGTATTTCGACCTTTTCGTTTCACGCGCTATGCGATTTTCGATAACAAATGCGATATTAAAGTTCTACGTAATTTATATAACGTCGGCACGCAACAACAGCTGTCTAAATCTAATGAAAGATAAAGTCGATTAAGTGTACGAGCGCATGTATATGAACATATATATATATATATATATATATATATATATATACACACGCGCGCGCGCGCGCACACACACACACACACACACACATATGTATTTATATATTTATATATTTTTAAATATTCATGTTTTGGAGCGTTCAAATTTATAGTCCTTTTACTCATTATCATTTCAATTATTGCGAATGAATAATGGTTTTATTATTAAATCTCTTTTCCTTTAAACTATTCAGATAAACATGTGCAATATATGATAAATATATGTCGTTGATTTTAAATTATCACAAGATTATTTTTATACAATTCATACTTTGGAATAAAATTATTTTCCACCGTCAGTGGCACATTCGTCATTGGAGGATTGTTGCCGTAGACGACAATAACTTACTACTAAGCAAATAATTCTATTAGTCCCGTCAAGCATTGCATCATGGAGAAAAATAGTTAGTTTTAAAGTGATTCACTGGCTGAAATTTTATTTACACGTTAACTTTACATTCCTAATTCAACCGATTACGGCATTAAATTAACTCTACGAATAAAAGGAATAATTACCATTCATGTGTACGAAAATTGAAAAAATTATTTTTCTTAGTTATATTTAAATTAATGTCAATGCAAAATTTATTCCTTTTTCAGTGATTGTAAACAAAGGGAGGAGGAGGAGGAGGGGGGGGGGGGCAAGGAAAAATTAACGTAAATTAAAGGCTCATTTTATATCGGTGTCTTAACACATAATCGGCATAGAACGAGGAAAATCCAAGTCAAATATTAATTTCTCTCTCTCGCTATATATATATAATATATGCCGTCTGCAAAATTTCTCAATCCGCTCATCGCTTTCACGTGCTCGCATAATTGCACGATTCATAATTATCGGCGGCCTTAGGCAAATGTATCCCGAAAGTCGTTGGCGTGAGATTTAGCAGATCTCGTAAATGGCCGCTATAATGAAATGAAAAGTCGTCGGTCCGTAGGTAAGCAAGCGATCGATAAATCTAGCCATGGAGGCGGACGGCACGAAGAGCCTCGCCAACGACGTGGCGAACCTGAAGATCGGCGAGGGCGATGGGCAGCGCTCGAGTAGTGCGAGCCCTTCGTGCCCGGCGACCGGAGGCGTCGGCACCTTCATAGCGAGCTTCAAGGCCTTCTCCAAGTTCGGCGACACCAAGAGCGACGGCAAGCTCATCACCCTCAGCCAGAGCGACAAGTGGATGAAGCAGGCCAAGGTCATCGACGGCAAGAAGATCACCACCACAGACACGGGCATCTACTTCAAGAAGCAAAAGTACGTGAGGCTTGGGGCCCGTGGGTCCTTTCCTTATAAACCGCTGCCTGGTGCTACATTTCACTACAGAACGTTCGAGCCGGATAATTTGCTTAATTAATTTTTCATTAATTATCGAGTTACAGAATTAGAGGCGCATTCGCGTAAATGTAAGATCGTAATACTCGAAATGCCGATTCTCACGCCACTCCGAGTGTTTATTATTCTTATATGATGAGCTTACATTTTAATACGCTTTAAGTATTCTGCTTATGACGAAATAAAAAATTAAGATCTAATTAAATTAATTAAATTCAACAAGCCGTAAGGAAGTGGACTATGAATGTTGCATTAAACGATGTGTGGCCCATTATTTCGACGTTCGAATTTACATACCAAAACATTTTATCTAATAAATTATTGCATTCGTTTTATATTAAATACCATTCGATGCTAATAAGATAATCATAATAATGCTAAAGATATTAAGGAAGAAAAAATCACAAGAGGCAGGTCAGTGATATTAAAAATAACAAAGTTTCGATTTATTGTAGGTGCTTGTAAAGGGCAGATGATATTGAAAAACGAAGCTAACCTCGTTAATTTTAATTCGTGTTAATAAATAAAAAAAAAAAAAAAAATTTTTTTTTTTTTTTTTTTTTTTTTTAGACTGATATGATGGTTACATGCAAAAGTTATTATGTATCGATTATCCTTAGAAGGTACGCAATTGCTTATAGCATAATTGGAATGGAATTGGAATTCACAAAGCCGACTAAATAATTCTTTTTGGTTCAAATAGTCGAAATCAGTGCCATGTAGTTTCTTATTTTATTTAAAATGATAAATTTAGTCTCAAATTTTCGCCAATTGAACATATATTTATTACATACTTCACAAACATTATTTATATACACACTTCTTGTATGTATTTTAAAATTAAAAATATATTACACTGTCGCTTTATGTCTGTTTCAATTATAAGGAGAGAAAGCATCATAAAGTTATATTTTATTTTTGTAATATTTAAAGTTATATTTTATAATTTCATAAGAGTTGTAGTTATTACTACTATTTTCATTGGTAGAATAATTATTATTAAAGTTATCAAGGCGTGACTTTGATGGAAACTACATGTTAAAGTTTCATTTTCGTTTGGTAGCAAACATTAATCACCAAACTCCGTTAATATTTGAAAACATGTTAACATTTTGTAAAACATACAATTACATAATACATATCGTTAATTATGAATGAATTGACTAACAATTAAAAACTAAAGATATTATTTATGAAAAGACCTATGCCAATTGCAACGTGTCCATAGCTTTATCACATATCCAGCAATATTTGAGTGTTTTAATTGAATAATATTTTTTCATTTTATGCAAAATGTGCAATATTTTACTTGAAAATTTCATTTTCAATCTATTTAATAAAATATACGTAGATAATTTATTGTCCGTGCGCTTGTCATTAAAATTAGAATTTAAAAGAAAAAACAAAATATTTTTTCCAACAAAACTTAAAATTTCGTATTTTTTATTTTTATAAGTAACGATATCATTGGATAAACGTTAATATAAAAGCCAATCGATATTATTAATCTGTTACTATAAAATATATTATAAAGAGACGAATGATATTTCATCGATTATATAACATTGTAAAGTATCGTATTTCAATATTTGCGTATTCAATTGATCGTTATAAAAAATTACCTAAGATCATTGATAAACAACTAAGCAAATAGAATTCTTCGAACAGTTTAATTTTATAAATTTGATTTGTAAATTTCAAGAACGGAAATTAAAATAGTCAATATCAAAGCATATATTCATTAAAACTGATTAAAGTCATAATAATTGAATACAAATCTAAATGTTATCAATATTGTATATGATTTCATGAAACTAATAATCCCATTTTTAATAACAGATCGATGAAACTGGGCATCGAACAATACAAAGCATTCCTAGATGATTTGGCTAAAAGTAAGAAAGTCGAGATAGTTAATATAAAAAATTTAATGGCAAACTGTGGTCCACCGGGAGTCACTGGATCTTCTATGGTATGTACTATTATTAACTAACATTAATCATTTGTAATTATTTTATTCCCATAATTTTTTCATTATTAATTGAAATGATAAATTATTGAAATTATAATGGTATGGTATATGGTTATATTATGCACTTCGCAATTGATTGTGAATTATACCGAAGCATATGAAAATTTTATATTACAACAAACATTTCGTTATAATTCAAGATAAAAGTACAACTAATAATGAAATACGCATTCTATTTCGTATAGAAAATTAAATAATACGTATTTTTAACATTCTTTGAAAATATTTAATAATTGTGAAAATAAAATTTTGTCTCAAAAATAACAATACTGTCTTTATATATATATATATATATATATATATATATATACACACACACACACACGCACGCACGCACGCACGCACGCACGCACACATGTATATTATAATTTTACTATTTATTCTTCTGAGAAATAAAAATAAAAATATATATTATGTTTGAAAATTCATTATTATAAAATATTTGTCTTAGGTTTGTAATTGAAATTTATGTAAAATAATGTAATATTATAAAAAGTAAATTGTAAAAGGCTTTAAATAGAGTTTACGAATTTATACGAACAGGCGTCAGATCAAATATTAAAAAGAAAAATTTTAACTTTAATATTCTCTCTTATTTCAAAATTTGCTTGAAAACATTTGGAAAAAAAATGCTCCTTTAATCGCTGACCTAATTATTCTTTTAGTTATTGTTTGATATTTTTGGCGATTTAATTGATGTACACAGTTAATCATGAAAATTTATAAATTTGCATTAAAAGATAATATTCGAAAATATTTTATAAATAATCAATGCTTGGTATTCACTGTAATTTAATTTTTTGAACGATATTTTTAATTGTGTAATTCATTCGCATTTGCATAATTAATAAGTATTCTTAATACTTATACGATTGAAAGAAAACAAATTATGTGTATATATATATATATACATATATTGTAGGTGTAAAAATAAATACACAGTCGTTCTAAGACATTCTTAATAATAATTTATAAACCAGGATGAAAAAAATCAAAATATAATATTAAGAATATAAAATTATGAAAGACTCTTTATTCAAAGTATAATGTTTGCTAGTTATGGAAGTGTTTTAAATTTTCATTTATAAAAGTGTTTTTATGCTTGAGTAAAATTTGACAAACTTACATATTTCTGGTCCATAATAATTTCAAAAATAATAATAGAATAATTCTTAAACACCTAAATGTTATATGAGAATATATATAAGACTTTCCCGGATTATTGTTGATATATGTGTAGGAAAGGAATGCTTTAGATAATATCGCAATAAAGCGATAGCGACATAATCGTATCAATATTAAATTTTTTCCTTAAGTATCTATGATCGCTAGCATTTTATCTTTTTCGTATCTTATGCATTGACAATAGAGTAGCGACATTATTGCAATAAAATAGTAATTTTCGCAAACAAAATTTAATTATATGATATTTAATTAGCTAATGTTTTTATTATAAATATTTGATAAGCAAGTTGATATCAAGTTCCATTAATTAATGAATAATAATAATAATAATAATAATAAAAAAAAAATAATAAAAAAGTAACGCTCTCGAATCGATCGTTTTACTTAAAAATTCCATCAAATTTTGTGCGGTGCAAACAGAAGCGCCGCTCAATATTCATAATATTAAGATAGTTATACAATTACAATTCAATAATCATCATAATAACAAAACTTATATTTCTAATGAAAAAAAAGCATAATTTTCGTAATTCCGTTGGAATATAATAATTTTCTTTCATAATTAAGCCTGGACTCAAACCAATTGCCAATATACAAAGTGTCGAGACATCAATGAGCTATAATTCATAATCGCAATTCCAAGTGCAGAAAATATCTTTCGACGACTGAACCTCTGAATCCGACCCGACTACATAGCCCATTTCACTTGCCCTTAATCCAACCCCCAGACACGCAAGGGACAAAGTAAACAAAATACGGTATAGCGCCCTTTAGCGCGTGTCAGACGGTAAAACTGTCTTATCGTGGAAGGGCCGAGTGCCTATCCCCCCTCACTCCTCCCATCCTTAATCCATCCCCGGCGACCACACGATCTCCCCGCTCAAACGCCCCGGCATCGACCGCAGCTGATTAATAATGAATTGAATGTGCCGAGAAACAGGGTGGAAAGGCGGCGTCTACGGTCGACAGGCTAACCGACGTCTCCAAGTACACGGGCTCGCATAAGCAGCGCTTCGACGAGATGGGCAAGGGTCGGGGCATAGCTGGCAGGAAGGACCTACCCGACCAGTCCGGCTACGTTCAGGGCTATCAGAACAAGGACAGTTACAAGTCCCAGTAATCCGTGGGCAACGGGCGCGAGGGAGTAGCGAGGGAGTAGCGAGGGAGCAGCGAGGGAGCAGCGATGGAGCAGCGAGGGAGCGGACCGACGGCCGAACCATTGGCATTTCGGGAGTCGATTACCGGACTCCACCTGGATACACAATCGCAGCCCATCGTCATCGAGGTTATCAGTCGACGAGCGAAGCGTCGATATCCACGGCATTTGCCCAGGGCCCGGAACTCCTCGACTCGCGAGCTTCTTTCGATGCACTACGATGCTTATTGGACGGGGAGGGATGGGGAATTACGAGGCTGTTTGCGAAATTTGGTGATACGATCGTTGGCGCCCAGAGGCAAATGGACGCGAGCGAATAGTTTCATTATATATTGTGTTATTTAATTTCTAACCTGTGGATAAATTCGTTACATTGCACTATCGTTTACTAAGAACTTTTTCAGCAATTACTTTTCGCCGATCTTTATGTCGCTTACAAATTCCGTCTTCTTAAAGCTTAATTATTGTTAAAAGCTTTGCAATTCCGTGCAAGGAAAAAAATTCATTCGCGCGGCACCGTGTTTTATGGCAAAATTTGCATAATTTCTAACTACCGCAAGTTTCTAATTTTTGCGATATGTTTTACGGGCCTAGAGAGTTCCGAGCGTCTTTATAGTTTGCATTACTTAGTTGGGTAATTATAGAAATACGTAATCTACAGTTTCACAATACGAAAATGCAAAAAAAAAAAAAAAAAAAAACTATTTTCTAAGTATAGTCGTTTAACATAATGTGACATTTTTAAATACGATAAATGTGTAAAGAGAAAGGCTAGAAAGAAAATGAATACGTATAATCAATATAATTCGCGGGAATTCGAAACGACCAAAACTTTGCCTTACTTATCCACGAAAGCGCAATTTCACTATATATATATATATATATATATTCGAGAAATTTTATTTTTAATTTTATCATTTTCAAAATAAGCACGAACAACTGTATGTGTCGAAAAATCATTATTTTTTATCATATCGATTTGTCATAGAAGTACATATTTTTTTAATGACTAGCGAACAATTGTGTAGAAAATCGATTAAACATCAAAAGCTTTTCTGTTAAATATTTATATGTTTATTTTGAAATTATAGAAACTTTTTCAATTGCCGCAATTTTTCATGTATATGAAATCGACGGAAATCTTTAATTCCTTAAACAGTGATAGGGAAGGGAAATTTCACTAGAATAAGATTTTCTTTTTCATAATATGAATAGTATAGCATTTACCATTATCATAATGAACTCGAATAATTGTAATTTTCAAAAACGATTACAACTTTAAAATTTATAATTAGTAAATATCATTTGGTAAAATATCCTTACAATTTTGGTTACCACTGATAATATGATTATATCACTCAATAAATAGATGTTCAATATTTTTTCTCTAAAAATTCATTATCTCGAGCTGCTTGTATTGAAATGGATAAATGTTAATATTTTATTTCGATAATCTTCCCGATATTTTAATATTTTAGTCATTTATATTTCTATGATAATTCTTAATTCCATAATTCACTATTAAACAGGCCCGTGTGCGCACCCACCACACCCATACACACACACAAACGCACATCATTTATATTGATTAATATTACATGGATTTCTTCCATAGTTTCCATAGTCTGTTTTTTATTAAATTTTTTTTTTTTTTTTTTTTAAACCAAGTTTACCTTCTTATATAGTTGGCATTTACGTATGTATTGTTATACCTCCAAGAGATGAGAAATGCAAAGTAATGGTATATATTGAGTATAAGAGCTATAAAGTAATAAAGTAATAACGCATACGACTTACGAATTAATAAAAATGAATTGCGTTTTGACGTATAACAAAAAAACAAAACAAAAAAAACAAAAAAAAAAAAAAACAAAAAAAAACAAAATAAAAATTAACAAAATTAAAAAAATAAAAGATCGATAATTATTACAAAAACATGCTTAGTTCCAGTATTAAAAAGATATATGCATTCGCTAATTTTATAATATAAGAGTATTAAAAATTTTTAGTGACATTAGCTAAAAATTTGTATGTTTTGCATTCTGATATCTGATCTATATAAATCTCTCGATTTTTTAAAAATTACCATTAATTAACATACAATGTAAATTCAAAACTTTTATTCAATATGATATGGAAAAAAAAAAAGAAAAAAAAAAAAAAATTTGTAATAGAAGTTAGAAATAATTCAATTTTTTGCACGAAACCTTTAATTTTGTATAAAGTTTCTTATTGTTGAATATTTTTGTATTAATGTTTCGATAAGTTTATATGATGGAAATTAATGTACGAATTACCATATATTTTGATTTTTGTAGATGATTATTGTGTCGTTATGAAAGGCGTTGTAAAGGAAAAGTAATACGTTATTACGAATGTAAATTGTTATTGACGATAGTCGATATTTTGAACGTCTAGACATTATTTGATTTTCTGTGCATAATCTCGATTGACTTATTATTAGTTATATTATTAAATTTTCTACTATACTTTTCATTATTCGAATTACATACGTTTAAAAATAAAATGCACTTAATACAGGTATAAATTTATGTTTTAATTGAAATTGTACAATATAAGTGAAAATAAAAGTCTATTATTCAAGATTATTTATGTTTTCGTCTGCTGCGGATGAAGGAAATGATGCAAGGGAATAGAGGAAAAAACAATGTAAAATTTGATAGTCGAAAGATTTTATTTTATTTTACCAACAGACGCGCTGGTACAATTAACGGTTTTTTTTGTTCATCAAGGCGTTACAATTAAGGCACTTTTTAGGAAAATTTTCGATATCGATCTAACGATCGAACAATTATGCAAGAGAACGCCAAAAACCCTTCCTTGCAAAAGCATTTTACTCAATGTCTCTGCCGAAATGCGTTCGAAAATGTTTTGTGCTCTTACATTTTTACATATTGCTTTTATTACATACAGTTTGCATTATGAAAATTTCACGATCATTGCTCTTCGTATATATAATTTTGTAATTCCTAATTGTATTTTATACATAAGATAAGTATAATTTATAATTAAATACATATCAAATAAGAGTGAACTTATATAAGACTAATTAAAGCTTGGATGGATTGGATGTGTCTACTTAGCCCAATCCAAATCCAAATACTTGTCAGTAGTAGAGTTTTTTCAAAATCATTCGTGTTGCATCTCGCGAGGAATAGTTTTATTACAATTTTGCGATGGAATGCAACACGAGACGCGCACAATTTTTCATTACAAGGCAGTGCGTATGGAGAGCGCCGAAAAATAAAACGAAGCTCCATATTCGCAACTGTGCGAGCGCGTGCGTGTTACATGACAAATACTGAGCGAAGAGAGAATAGTCTAAAATTTAGATAATATAACAACGCGATAGAAGCCATCTTACGTAATCGTAACGTATATATAATACAAGAATATACGAAGTATGCGTGTAAAGATATATTAAACTCTGCGCTCGATTCTCTACAGAATCTAATTATAGGCTACGTGCATTTTATAGACTAAAAACAATTATTACATTCTTTTCTTTCGCTTAACATTGAATCCGACGAAGGAACAAAGCGTTCGTTGAAATTGACGAGTCAAGATCTTCAAAACTGGCGTTCGTACAAAAGAGATACAATAATACAGTATTGGTCATAATAATAGTATTAACGTATTTTCATACAACCATAAGAATCTATAAAAATTATTCTAGATAAACGATCCCTCAAGAGCTTTCCATAAGACTGAAAAGCATCAAACTTAAGTGTTAAAATTTATTTTTCTCGATAATATAATATCATTTTAAAATACATTCGTCAACATTATAATTTGTAAATTATCTTTTAACGCATTAACATAACAATATTTGGATATGAAATAATGCAGGAGTAATGAGCATAAACGAGAAAATTAGAATGAATTTTTTTTTTTTTTTTTTTTTTTTTTTTTTTTTTATCAAAATCAACTAGGATTTTGTAAGAAAAGAAAATACTTTAAAATCATGCCTAAATTCAATGAACTTTAATGATTAAGTTTAAATGAAATTGAAATATTTTTTTTTTGTATCCTTTTTTATAAAATTCGTTATTTCCCAAGATTTGCTCGCAAGTTTGCCTTCGATATAAACAACAACTTTAAAACAACTCGAAACAACTCCAAAACAACATAATTTTCAACTAAATTAAAGCTAGATTATGCACTTTTCTTACAATTTTTTCTTCTTTTCCTTCGTTGCTTCTTCATCCTCTTCTTTTTTTTTTTTTAAATTATTATAATTTACCTTTTGTAGTGCAATATTAAACTTTGCAATTTCATAGAGATTGCAATCACACTTACTACTGATAATTAGGAAAAGCCAATGCTCAATTTCGTTGATTATATTTGAATATGTTTGAAGTACTTTGATAAAACTCGGTTTAACGTAATGAAAATAATGACTTTGGTAACGCACTACTAGAGTAATCCATGCCGAGATGATAGCGTTTGAAGTATTGTTCGTGTATTGAAAAATACGAATATTCTGATGATAAAATGACCCGAACTTCATCGAAGATCTATCGGTTTTTTTCTTTCTTTTTTTTCTTCTATAACGTCTGACTGGATTCTTCTTTCAAACGCAAAATCATATAAAATAAGGTAGTAAGCAAATTTATCATCGATTCAGTCACTGCGATTCCCATAAAAATATCTTAAATTACAATCTCAGATATACGACAGTCGCGAATACATACACGAAGTACAACGATATATGTACAAACACATATTTGATGCTAATCAGTTTGTTCGTCCAGGACAATCGTCCAATGCAAGCTTTTCAATCCTAATATCATACATGATTCTCAAAAGTATCGTGAAAAAAGCTCGTCTAAAGTTCGGTGAGAGTGTCGATGGAGGCGCGCATGGTGATCCTGGAGCTGCAGCTGCCGTAGCCGGACTTGCTGCTGCCGATACCCGTACCCTCGATTCTCGAGATGATCTCGTCGCGCAGCGACACAAGGACTCGGCGATCTTGGCGATTCTGAGGTGGCGCGACTCGTAACCCCTCCTCGATATCGTCGAGGGCCTCGTCCAGTCGACCAGCGTCCAGCTTGGCCTTGGCTCGGGCGTAAAACGCCTCATAAGAGAAGAGGCGGATCTTTAAGACTTCGTCGGCCAACTCGATAGCCTCCTCGCACTCCTGAAACATAAATCCGGGTGTATTAAGTACCTCACGATTAATATTCCCATGGCTTATCAAATTTTACGTGCAGGCAAATTATAGTTTATAGCGGGGAGCGGGTCATTGACATCCGAATTTTTCGTACGAATAGCTTGTTACTCCATTCCTTACGAGCGAGACGCTCGAGGCTAAGAGTTAAAGGATCTGCCCATAAATACATCGATTTTCCGCCACTTTTTATAATAAAGTTATATTATACGTCGATCAAAATTATGTTCTACATAATTGTGCATTATAAATCCCGTTGAATAATATTTCATCAAGGCAACGCATATTCATTCTTATAATACGGCAACTGATATATACATACATACAACAATACATATGTATATATATATATATATATATGTTTTCATTTTATAAGTTTTTTAAATACTTATGGGGATTTCATTATTTTTTTTTTTTTTTTTTTTTTTTTTTTTTTTTTTAACTAAGAAAAGTAATAAATCCAACAAAAATAATAGAAAAAGCTTAATTTAAGGTGAGGCAGTTATTTGTAACCCTCGGCGATCAACTCGTAAAATGAATAGAATGATTTATATGAAAAATGATTTGTGCGGATACAGATAGATTTTAATGAACATTTTCATTTATAAGTCAAACGTAGTTTACTCTTTCGTTTTATAACCTCGTTTTTATATCTCGTATATCCGAGTGATTATACGAGTATGATTTTATTCATATATATATATATATATATATATATATATATATATATATATATATATGTATGTATATATGTATGTATGTATATCCAGTATTTATGTGTGCAATGCTTCAATAACTTCGTGCGATTAATTTTATCAACAGCTAATTAGTTTATAAAACTTAATGGCCATTAATTGAGCTTCCAAATAAATTATATCAACAGAAACAATATAGTAAATCAAAGCAAATTTTAACAAAGTATTATTCATTGATAATTAATATAAACTTTAAATTGAAATCAATTTGATTATAAACAATTCGACTAAACATATTGATTTGTCAAGTAGTTTATAGTCACTTTATAATTCAACACGATAAATAAATAGACATTACTGCTGATACAATAATATCTTTGATAAAGAGATTAATAAAGAGATTGATTTTGATGGGGTTGAGTCACGGCTTGAAAAGTTTTAAAAGCGATAATAAGGTTAAGGTTATCCGATCTTTAACGAAAATTAAAGAATAACGCGCAGTGCACCAACCGATATGCCGGCAGACAACTTTATTGAGTGGTAACAAAGATTGACTGATTACGAAATCGTCCTCATATTTCTTATCCATACGATCGTGCGCGCACCGAGCAAAAAAGCTGAATAATAATAATAATAATAATAATAATAATAATAATAATAATAAGTACTCGACTCACATTCATCTTGCGTTTGCACCTGCTCAAGTTCAGCAGAAAGTTCATTTTGAGTTGCTCGAACGACTGGAGATGCGCGAGCGTGTGGTTCTGGTCCTCGTGCTCGGGGCCTTGGCTCTGCTCCGGCGCAGCGGGGAACTTCCTGAGGGCGTAGGAGTAACGATGGGAGGCCTCCTTTAGTCGTCCCTTCCTGTACAGCACATTGCCGTCCTCGAGCAGTTTGTTCATGAGGATGAGGAGGACGTCGGGCTTGCCGGCGGCCATCGCCCAGGTCGCGGGCCCGAGTTTCGCGCCCCGACGAAGAAAGCACTGGACCACGGGTATATTGCGGCAGCCGATCGCCCGGTCGAGGGGACGCATACCGTGGAGATCCACGTGCTCGATGGTCGCGCCGCGCTCTAGTAGCAGCTGCACCAGCTTCGGGTTACCCTGCAAACGACCTCGCGAGGTTAATATTACCGAATCGAAAGCATCGCTTCTGCATCGCCAGTTCAGACTGGGATACCCGCTACACTAGACCTCATCGAGACTGGGAGGATTAGGAGGAGAGGGGGAGGTTGACGGGAAGTCGCAATTATATTCGGCATTTCTTTCTCATTCATACTGAGCTTACTCATTAGGATCATTGTTGACCATTCATTCACGAGATATAATTGGGATTTTGAGCCAATCGACAATTTTGATCGATGAAAATTCCATAAGCGTTATTATCTTCAACCGAGGCAATTAATAAACGATTAATATTGTCGGAGGAAAGTGCGACAGGGAGATCTGGGATGCGTAGGAATTATCGCAATGGGTTACCTGAAACGCAGCCAGGTCCAAAGGCGTTCTTCCAGTCTTATCGCAGGTATTGACGTCGGCGCCTCGGTCTATGAGGCACTGCGTCGCATTCAATCTTCCACGAACGCAAGCCCACGCGAGAGCGGTAAGGCCTTCTTTGTCAGTGTCCTCGAGAACGGCTCCCTTATCGAGAAGTAGATCTATCAGACTTGTATGGCCCTCGGAAGCTGCCAAAGACAAAGACGAACGACCGACTGGATCTTTTTGCTTCATGAGGTACGTTGTCACTTCGAGATCTTGTTCGGTGCTCATTGACAGGGAGCCTAGAATTCGCATACGCACAATAATAATAATAATAATAATAATAATAATAATGATAATAATAATAATAATAATGATAATAATAATAATAATAATAATAATAATAATAAGGATAATACGCGAATGAATGGAGAAGGACGAAGGGGGAGAGAAAGAAGAAGAAGAAGTAGAAGAGGAAGAAGAAGAGGAAGAAGAAGAAGAAGAAGAAGAAGAAGAAGAAGAAGAAGAAGAAGAAGAAGATGATGATGATGATGATGATGATGATGATGATGATGATGATGATGATGATGATGATGATGATGATGATGATGATGATGATGATGATGATGATGATGATGATGATGATGATGATGATGATGATGATGATGATGATGATGATGATGATGATGATGATGATGATGATGATGATGATGATGATGATGATGATGATGGTGATGATGAAGATGAAGACGAAGACGAAGACAATGATGATTACACCAGAGGCTAAATCCGAGCACGAGTATGCGAATAATCTTTCTTTTCACTCGGCCCCTTGTTTATGCAAAATATTATAGACCCCGGGGGATGTCTGATAGGATAATAATAATAATTATAATAGATAATTATCGAATAGCGGTATATAATAGACTGCGAATGGCTGATTTATAATCCACCGAGAAGTCTCAATTTATTTATTTCTATGCGATGGTGGTGCAATCAATTTCCTTTTTCATGCGCAAGGATGGTATTTAAATTTATACACGCGTTCTACAATTCTTTTATAATTGGTAATTAAAGGATAATTCACAGCCGAGACATGCATTTAATATTAAAAATTATCGTGTAAATTGAGAATTTAGATAGTCGTAGAATTGATATTGGGGGAAACGGTCGTCGTAGTAACAAAAGTCAAGTGAAATAGAAAAAAATCAATTTTTATCAATTATCCTGAAGATTGCGAAACGATTTGTTTGAGCGATGTAAGAGCTCGCGTAATCGCTAAATGACAACAGTCGATTGCCATTTTGCAAAATATTGTGGTGGAAAGTTGAGGAGTACGGTCGAGTTGGTACCGATGAACATGCTAAATAACGAATGACAATATGCTCGGCAATGGATGCTGCGGCAAACTTGTGGGGTTACGGGGGTGGGGGGCTCATACCTTGCAGAAGTCTCTCGGCGGTGCCCCAATGGCCCTCCTTGGCTGCGAGCATCAGAGCCGTGAAGCCCTTGACGTTGAGGGTGGAGGGGCTGGCGCCCCGGGCGAGGAGCGCGGAAACGGTGGCGGTGGAGCCGTTGGCCGCTGCGGTCGTTAGCGCGGTCTCGCCGAGGAGGGTGTCGGGCCTGTCGACGACGACCTCCGACATGTCCAGAAGGTACTCGACGACGGACTCGTGGCCCTGTGCCGCGGCGGCCACGACCGCTTGCTGGGCAGCCTCCTCGCGGCTCACGTCCATCGAGGATTCCGCTGCCGTCGCCAGGATCCAGTCGCAGGCGAGCAGGTAGCCCACCACCGAGAGCCGTCCGTGACGCGCCGCGTGCACCAGTGCGCACTGTCCGGCCATGTCGGCGTGGCCCAACGACGCCCCGGCTGCCGCCAATCTGTCGTTCGAGGAGCAAAGAGGATGAGAGCTCGTCCTACCTTAGCCGGAGGAGGCTCAGCCGGAGGAGGGAAACACGTACCTGCGCACGACGTCGCAGTGGCCCCGAGTTGCGGCCAGTGTCAGCGCTGTGTAGCCCTGGCTATTGGTCAGCTCGACGTCCGCCCCGAACTCCAGCAGCAAGGAGACCATCTCAACGGATCCCTCGTGGGCGTACATACAGAGGGCTGGGGCATTGCCAAGGTATTCAGTGACGAAGTTCGGTGATGCCCCGGACAGTAGAAGTAGGCGCGATACTTTGACGTTGGGGCTATAGACGTTGCGCAGAGTGCAAAGCGCGGAGGAGACGCACTCCGAGGAGGAGGCTAACCACGTAGCCTGTTGAGCGCGATTGCGCATGGTAAGATTAGAAATTCAAGCTGCCGGTGGGTGGCGGGAGGGGGGGGGCTGTAGAAATACGATAGGATACCTGCAAGTCGCGCGATGGCCAAAGGGGTGTGACACCCCTGTAGACGTGCGCCTTGAGGATGTGATGGCCGAGCTCGAGAGTCCTCTCACCGTCCAAGGGCGCCTGGAGTCGCGAGAGTCGGAAGGCTATTGCTGCGTGACCGAGGCGCAGGTCGCAGAGGAACTTTGTGGACTCGCCCTCGTCCCTCCTCATCAGCCATTCCCTGAACGACGGATGGAAAAACATGTAGGTATTGTCGAGGCGCTTCACGAGAAATCCAGAGAGCATCTACGACATAGTGATAAGCCGTTTGAGCAACCGATGGCAGCGTACTTTTTAATGGCCGACGTGGACCGTACGTAATTACCTTAAATCTTTGTAAAAAATCTTCCCAGGTAACGACGAAGCTATTGTTAAGCGAATTTACGGAGTAGAAGATTTCGGGTAGAGTTAAGGGATAAAGTGCGGCAAGACAGACGCCGAGGAGAGGCTGGACTTTATCGAATGACGCCGCCGTTGGAAAGCGTAAGTTGAAGTGTAGCAGATAAATCTGGGCAAGTGAAACTGGTAAAACCTGAAAATAAATGATTTGTCGGTAATTGAAATTCGTCCCGGTCTGATCCGTAATTATGAATTATAACGTTTCATTCGCCTCTCCTTTTGCCATTCGATTACTTATCCCAAACACCCGCACGCACACGCCCATAGATATAGACTCAAACTTATTTTAAATTTCGTATTATACAGCTTTTAATATTAAAAGTCATTTTCATTAAAATAAGACGTAATTAAGCTATTATTAATTATTACACTCATTGCACTAAATCATGACAAACGGATAAATACCTTAAATGCTTGGATTTACCGGCTATAAATTTTTGCAGTTATCTACGCTGTGACCTCTACAATAATATTCGTATATTTTCTAAAATTCGAATGATACGTTAATGAATGGCTTTAAATTTTTATTTTTAATAAAAACAAGTCTTAAGTCTCGTAGGAGAATAAATATTGTGCTAAGAGTAATTTAGAAAGTATTCGACCGGCGATAAGATTTACAACACGTGGTTGTAGAATATGTAGAAATAAAGGTGCATAACAACATTTTTAAGATCTTCATGAGATTTTTAAAAAGCGAAATTTCTCGTACGGCTCATTTTCACGAACGTTTTTACGCATTTACAAATAAATATTTTTATATATGTATAAGCATGCTTATGCACGAACGAGTGCATGTGCGTGCCATGAGTGTGTGCGTGTGCGTGTGTGCTTGCGCGCGTGCAATTAACGGAAATTATAAAATCAAATGAAAATTGTCGCAAGTGACGAAGAAAATATTATGCTATCAATAGGAGAATTGTCAATATCTATATGATATATCTCTTGACTTCTGGATCCCAAAGTACTGACCTTATAGCTGGCAGATTTGGCTACGAGATGCCCACTCTCGAGAAGATCGAGGGTAAGCTTGGCGAAGAGGAAGCTGCCGTTGGCGAGAGTGAGGAGGTGTGTGGCGAACCTCGTCTGGGTAGCGGAGCACGAGGACTCGGCTTTGCCGTTGAGGACGGCGGTGACGTTGGCTTGGATGGCGGGGCTCTGGCTGAGCCTGTAGCCAATGTAGTCCGAGAGGTCCTTGCCGACATTGACTCCCGAAGTGTCGTTCGCGTTCTTATCCAAGCATATCCTTGTATAGGGCAGCTGCTTGGTGCAGTCCGCTAATTGGCTACGCACCGTAACCACGAGCTTCAGCCAGCTGGGGAAGCTGGGCGCGTGCCTAGTGAGGAACGAGGCTATCGTGTCGCCCCTGTCCGGTCTGTGGTACTCGGCCTCGCATACGGCGTCGATCAGTATCACCTGCGCTCGCGTTTACGCAAAAAAACTTTGTGAGTGCGACGCTTAAAGGAGTAACAGGAGGTGCCTGCTTTTTAACGGGACGCGAGGATTCTTAATTGGATGGGTTGGATAGGCGTCGACTAAGTCGTTTAAAAATATCGATGAAAATTCAAATGTTCGGACTCGCAGTGACAGAAGACTAAGTTGAGCTATAAATTTTCTCGCCTGTTTTTCCGTTTTCATCGTTTAACCAATTAGGTATTGGGAAGCTCTGACAAATTCCACGTTGTCAAACGTTAAGAAAAATAGATTCGCTCATACGTGGTTATTTTTCTTTTTTTATAAGAGAATTAGAGAGAATACTTTTCAATGACAAATAATTGCAAATACAGTTCAACATACACGCACATCATCTGATTATCCCCGCGAAATTCCCAAAGCACCATCTATCGATTTAACCAAACCTGCTTTAAACGTACCATATTCGTGTCGGGTAGACGTCCGGCTTTTCGTAGAATGAAAAGGGGCTCGATGATTCCTCGAAGAAGGGCGAGATCCGGGTCGACCGTGCAAACCTTTTGCGATAGAGATCCTTGCAAGTGGGGCTCGGACAGTAGATACTCACGGTACGAGGTAAGCTGAGGTGCTTGGCAGAGTTGCGCAGCTAAGGAATGAATAAGGTCAGGAACAAGGCAGGTGCTGTTGTTGTCAGCTTGACAGAAGTGGTAGGCAACCACGTGCGATGCCAATTCGCGAATCTGAAATGCGACAGCAATGCTCCAAATATCGTTCCATTCGATTCGCCAAATCTGCGGGACATCGAGGCCTCAACGAGGTAAGGATTTATAGGGGACTGTACTTGCTTGTTTGCTTACTTGTTCACTTACTTACTTACGTAACATATCGTGGAAATAGCTCACTGATGGTTAATCGCGCCTTTCATTAAACGTAAATCTATGATTGGCGGTTTTTAATTTAATTAATCGTCGCGCGTCAATTAAATGCCGCGAATAAATTTACGTTAATATTGAAAGAGAGCAGCTTCGAGCTTAAAAGTGATCGATACATTGTAATGGACAAGTAGAAAATAAATGTAAATAAACATTGGCAAATTGGCCACAGCTTATAAACGGAATAAAATTGATATGAAATGAGATAGAGTGAGAGAGAGAGAGAGAGAGAGAGAGAGAGAGAGAGAGGTTATGCTTTTGATTTTGATGCGGAACGTTCGAATTTACGACACTGGTTAATTAATGAAAATTAAAAGATGCGAAAAGATTTATCGCAGGTGTACGTGACCAAGTCCCTTCTCTCGTACGCATAAACGCCGTTAATCGAACAATCTTTATTACACAAGCTCGTTATGCGATCTGTTGGCATGCTGAGGGTGTATGGGGCAGTGGTGGGGGTTGGGGAGGGGGGGGGGGGGGGGGGGGGGGGGGGGGGGGGGGGGGGGGACGAATGTGGAAATGCCCGGACTTCTTGAGCGAAAACTGAAAAAAAAACATCGCGGTAAATTGAAAGATACCGTCTGGACGGTGGTAACTCGACTCGGTCGCGCCTTCATTAAAATTCCTCGCTTCCGAGGCCGCGGATGGGCAATCGAGATGGACAACCTCGGTAATTGCCGTAGCATAGCGTCGCAAGTGGCGAAAGCCGAACATACGTCTCAGTGACCTAACTAACGGCCTACCTTATCGCTCGTCTGCTGGATGCCTACGCGGCCACCGTTGCCGACCTCGGGCTCGTCCGCTGGAGCCGGCTGAGACCTCTGGTCGCGCTTGCGTCCAAAGCAACTGTGGTCGACGAGCTGGAGTACGAGGGCTGTTTTGCCAGAACCAGGCGAACCGGAGATAAGGACACCGGAGCTCGAGCCCTCGACGAGGCAGCGCAACTCCTGAAGTAGCCAGTGCCGACCGGTGAACAGGGGGTCGCTCTCCAGCAGCGGCACCTCGAAGAACAGCGGCTTCAGCTGCAGCTGGGCGTGCTGCTGCGCGAGGCGCACTAAGGCAGAAAAGAGGAAGGAGGTCAGAGCCGTAATCTCGACGAAGATGGAAGTGGTTAGTCGCGACCCCTCGAAACATCTGGTTGAGGGAACGCCGGGGGATCGATGGGAGGGATTTCCTCGCCGTACGTCACCACGATCGCAAGCTACCCACTTGACCATGAAATTTTGCAGCTATCCCAGTTGTGAGATCGGTTGTCGGCAATCGGTACCTTCTCTCGTCAAAATGCGCCATACTGCCTCCCCCTCCCCCTACCTCCCTCCCGCCACATCACCCAACGCTTTAATCGCACTTAGATACGAGAGCGCCGTTCGTCTGACTGTTGACCTTTGATTATCCTCGACACAGTTACGAAGTTCCAACAAAAAAAAAAAAAAAAAAAAAAAAAAACAGAAACAAGCGATAGTATAAAAGCGCTGATAATATAAAAGCGTGAAATAAAGCCGCATAAGGGAAGTGATCTATGCCCGGTGAGCGCACGCGTAATGGCGCGATGAAAAATGGTTATACGTGTCGTCGCGATCGCGATTCGGAAGACCGATTTCACGGTGCGCCGCGACGAGTGAAACTTAAGTAAATAATTTATCGCCTCGGCTCTTAAATTATAATTATGTCTATCGTAAATTAAAGGGAGAAAAAACAATTAAGAGCGAGTTTTGCGCACGTCGTCATTGGCGCGGGATGGGACGGCGAGCGAGGGCCGGGAGGTAGAAAACGACGCGACGATTCATATTGCGCGGCTTTTCACTTCCTTTTAAGCTTGCCGATCTTTTAAACCGTTTAAGCATTTATTTTGGAACGGTTCGGGCGCGGACCGATCGAGCTCCTTGGCGAAAATTTCCCGCGCGTCGTCTACATAAAGTACATAAAGTACATAAAGTACATGAAAATACGAAAACAATATTACGCTACCACACGAATAAATATACGTAAAGGTATGTGCGCGATCACGCTTTGTGTGGTTATGCGTATACGTGTCTATACGTCACTGATACACGATCTTGCTTCGTAATTTTGCAACATTATGCGGGAAGTTACGAGCACGCCTCGAGAGAAATCGTTCAACGTCCCCGCCGCAGATGGATTAATCGATTTTTCGATTCGCCTCCCCCCCCC